ATAATACCCGTCAATTTTTAAACCTTACTTCGAACTGTATGTTTAGTTAATCGAGGTACGAATCGAATTCTATAATCGCTGACTTTTTGTTGCTCAAAATTCGCTCGAAATGTGAAATATTGCTCAAATGTTGCCCAAAGTGCGAAAAAATGCTCAACGTTGCTCAACATGCAAAATGGTGCTCCAAACAAAAAAAAGTGCTCAAAAAGTGCTCAGCGCAATCGGGAAAGGCCTACTAATAATGAAAAATATGACCTTAGACGAGGGGCAATTCACTCCAAAAATCCCGTACACTTCGTCAAAAAATCTGGAAAAAATCCAGAAAAAATCCATGAAATCCTCAAAATCCGTTGAATCCATCAAAATCCAAAAAATCCTTTAAAAACTACAGAAATCCTTCAAAAATCCACAGAAATCCTTCAAAATCCTTAAAAAATCCGCAAATCCACAAAAAATATATGAAGTACTTGGTGTAATTTACTCGTAAAGGTTCTTTGCCACGTTCAAAATGGCGGACAGCGAAAGCTAAACGCTTACCGTGATCGCTTGGCTGTCATTATATTTCGTAATTAGTGGACCACTCTACATTTCCATTTATACGGTCGAGTATACGCTAAGTTTTTTTAGCCTATTACTACTAAATATGTGTTCTTGTTACAATGACGTTATGTTGTCAAATATAATTGCAAAACCAAAAGTTATTCACCATTGACATTGTCTTTTACTGCTTTTGAAAGAATAATGAACTTGTTTGAATTTTAAACAAAATGACTGCATGCCCAGCCTTCGTTAATAGTTTCAGAAGGCTGTGGTCCTAGTCCCAGTCCTCTGCTCGACCCTGACGTCCTGGCATAACGTTGACATCGTACAATTTAGACAACTTAAGATTATTTGTTCAAAACGTTACCTAGCTCTATAACTCTATAATTAAAAAAAATCCAGAAAAAATCCGAACAAATCCGGAAAATCCAAACAAATCCGGAAAATCCAACAGATTTTCAAAAATCAAGAAAAAATCCGAACAAATCCGGAAAATCCGAACAAATCCGGAAAATCCAGCAAATTTTCTCTTCAAAAATCCGCTAAAAAATCCGGGAAAAATCCGCTAAATCCGCTAAAAAATCCGCGGATTTTTAAAAATCCGAAAATCCCGTACGCTTTTTTGGAGTGAAATGCCCCTCGACCTTAGAAATAACGGAATTAATTTTCAACTGGATAAACCTAAGACTAATTTCCTCAAAAAAAGTATTAGCTACTCAGGGGCAAAATGCTGGAATAATTTGCCTAATGAGATTCAAAAGAAATGACGATGGGACACAATATTTTGTATATATTCTCTTAGACTTTAACTGTGTGATAATTTATATTATATTATATTTTAGATGTAATTTTTATTAAACTTTGTAAATATTAGTTTAAACGGCCTCTTGAAAAACGGATCATAGGTGTTCTGAAGAGCTACCGTTTTAAAATATTTGTAAATAATAATAATAAATTGATATTTCTTTTCCTGTTCATTAATACTGAAAAATTTGTATTTTCCGATGTATTTTTGTACGACACGACTTTGTTTATCTGATTGTCTCGCTTTATGAAACATATAAACCTTTATATTTTTCGCTGTGTAATATAAATAAACTCTGTATCGTCTATGAAGAACAAATTTTGCACTCGCTCGTTCGTTTAATTTGCGAAAACAGATTATAACGCGTGCGTAAATACCACACGTAAGTATTTCCCATGAAAAAATCTCTATATACTATCCGGTAATCCGGTTATCCGGTTATCCGGTTATCCGGTTATCCGGTTATCCGGTTATCCGGTTATCCGGTTATCCGGTTATCCGGTTATCCGGTTATCCGGTTATCCGGTTATCCGCTACCCGGGTTTTCTACCATGCCGAATACATTGACAACTTGCGGCTCTTTTATACAATAACACACAGACCCCACGCATATGCATTTAAGGTTTTCTTGCCTGTCTGCCAAAAGGGCGCGTTTCAGCATTATATCTCGTTACTTACATTACTCATTATGTTTCTTGCGCAAACAACTAAATTGCGTACACAACTTTACATTATCATAACTTCAACTATCTAATTTGCGTCGCTCTCGTGATTCGTGAAGCATAATAAAGGGCATAATATAAGGGTATAATACCAGCAAAAAAGGGCATAATTCCCGTGATCGCTTATTCGCTTCGAAGCCTGATCAATATTCCGGTAATGAGACATTGCGTGTGATCACCAATCATGTTTCTATATGAACGAGTGATTTCGTGTGAATCATCAGTAGCAAATACGGTTGGACAAAACAGTCTGCAATTTAATATACTCACTTTGTCGCCTATGCGCTTAGTCTGTTTATAAGTCTATAAACACATCTTTCCTTGGCGGAATTAGTAACTATATTTTTTCGAATGCGTTTCTTCCCACCTTCTTTCAAAATTCGGCGCGGGATCGGCGCCCCCTTTTCATTTTTGCGCCCCCCAAAAATTGCCAGCTGGGGGGGCCGTGGCCCCCCGGCCCCCCCTGCCAGCACGCCACTGATCCTTTGCACTTCAAGAGTAGCTAAGTCGGTAAAAACAAGGAAGCCAATCAACTGTTGTTACTTTAATATTTTGATTGTCATGTTTTCAACAATAAACAAAGATGGGCATTTAATATTCTCAACAATAACAATTCTAGGTTTGATTTCTATTTTTCGGGCAAATATTTATTACTTTGAGACTGATTTCTGCCGAGGATTTCTGTTCGTTATTAGTAGCTATCGGTCAGAAAGGCACGTTTTACGCAATATGCCAATAATGATTGCAGCAATATTTTCACACACCCCGGTATTTTTTTTTCCGAATTTTTAACAAATTAAGAATTTTTAGTGTGCATTATTTTATCGATATTTCCTTTTTATTGATTATTGCAGTCTAGTTTGGGAAAATTGCAGCAATTACTTGCACGACAAGATGCAAAAAAATGCAAAATAGAGCGGCAAGAATAATTACTGGCAAATCATATGAAATACGAACAAGTGAATTGCTAAAAGAGCTTAATTGGCAAACACTTGAGGAAAGAAGGGAGAGCGGGAGATTCACATTCATGTTTAATGTTAAAAATCAGGAGGCACCGGCAAATATGGCTAATTTGTTTAGATTCTCTATTCTCTAATAACGAAAAATATGACCTTAGAAATAACGGAATTAATTTTCAACTGGATAAACCTAAGACTAATTTCCTCAAAAAAATTTTAGCTACTCAGGGGCAAAATGCTGGAATAATTTGCCAAATGAGATTAAGGCAAAAGAAATGACGATGGGACAATTCAAAACATTTCTCAGAGAAAACGACAATATTTGCGACCAGCGAGCGAGCACCAGCGAGCGAGCTGGGAGCATCCTAATCTGTGCGTAGAAAATTTAAATATACCGCTGAGTTCGGATTAGCCCCGGCTCAAGATTCACCGATTCACCTCGGCTTGCATTCCATATTTGGAACATATTTCCATATTTGGAAGACCGCATGAAACGGTATTTCCGCCACTGTTATGCCGCCCAGTGTTTTATTTACTCATCGATACTGATGCAATTTTATACATGTACCTTTAACTTTTGTTCATCAAATTGTACATCAAACGAAGCTTAACTTTGCATCTACTAACTGTTGTAAGTCTGTTATTGAAGACAGATTTAAATAATCAAAAAGATTAAATGCTGTGCATGAGGATGTTGTGATGTATACAAAGAAACGTCTGTTGTTTGAAAGTCATGTGCCGGGCTTTAATATTTATCTTTAAATTGCCCTTTGTGAATCGGTATTGTTATTGACACGTCATGCTATTCATAGAAGGCGACTTTGCGCCGTAGTGACAATATAATCACAAATGTAACTATTTGTTATGTAATTTGTAGACTTGCCACAAGTCGGCCTCGAACGAAACGCGAGCGCAACGTCGCTTCGTTCAAGGTCGACTTGTGGCAAGTCTATGTAATTTGTAGCAAGTGACGTAATTGGATACCAATTAGTCACGTTAATATTTTGATAAATTTATCTAAATTGGATCATGAGACCCGCACGACCAAAAATATGCAACTTTTGCGTCTTGAAGACGGCATGTTGTTCTCCAGGTCGCACTTTTTAACCTGTGGTTACGCCTAGTTGTTAGTTATATTTATGTGTGCATACAATATTTTGTATATATTCTCTTAGACTTTAACTGTGTGATAATTTATATTATATTATATTTTAGATGTAATTTTTATTAAACTTTGTAAATATTAGTTTAAACGGCCTCTTGAAAAAACGGATCATAGGTGTTCTGAAGAGCTACCGTTTTAAAATATTTGTAAATAATAATAATAAATTGATATTTCCTTTCCTGTTCATTAATACTGAAAACTTTGTATTTTCCGATGTATTTTTGTACGACACGACTTTGTTTATCTGATTGTCTCGCTTTATGAAACATATAAACCTTTATATTTTTCGCTGTGTAATATAAATAAACTCTGTATCGTCTATGAAGAACAAATTTTGCACTCGCTCGTTCGTTTAATTTGCGAAAACAGATTATAACGCGTGCGTAAATACCACACGTAAGCTCGCACGTAAGTATTTCCCATGAAAAAATCTCTATATACTATTCGGTTATCCGGTTATCCGATTATCCGGTTATCCGGTTATCCGATTATCCGGTTATCCGGTTATCCGGTTATCCGGTTATCCGATTATCCGGTTATCCGGTTATCCGATTATCCGGTTATCCGATTATCCGGTTATCCGGTTATCCGATTATCCGGTTATCCGGTTATCCGATTATCCGGTTATCCGGTTATCCGATTATCCGGTTATCCGATTATCCGGTTATCCGGTACCCGGGTTTTCTTCTCATGTACCGGTAATGCCAAGTAATATAGCACAGAGCGCAGAATGCGTGAGACCTGGAAGGTCTGAAAATGGCAAAGGAATGTGTTGATTTAACACTGAAATATCCATTAAATGATGGAAATTTCATTCCTGTTTTAGGACTTGGAGTAAGTACGTATACGATGTCCAAGGATGATGTCGGGGGAACTTCTCGGTCAGTCAGTATTGCTTTGAAACAAGGATATCCTATGATTGATACAGCGGAGATCTACAAGTAGGTTCAAATTTGCAAGCAAATTTGTTCGTTTAGGAAACAACTCGTGTTATGTCCCTTAATTACGTTGTTTACATTGTATAATCGAATTCGCGGTTCGCCTGAATTCCTGCCAAGGCAAGGGGTAATCAGAAATCACCAACTTTAATAATATTGTTGTGTCATATTGAAATTAGCTATTAAATTATGTGCCCAGGTATTTCAGGTAAATGTCCGATAAGTTTGATTGAAAATCAGGTAACAATTGTGTCTGAAATCGGGGAAGAATTAGCATTTATACTAAAATATTTGAGAGAATGAAAAATCTAATGTGCAGAAAAAGTTTTTATATATAATGTACAGAAAAATTTTTCATTGACTGTCAAAAAGTTAGATATTTTCAGGTAAAATTATTAATTAACAACCCCCCCCCCTTCCCAAAGGAAGACTGCTTGCAATGGCCCAAGGTGGGAGCATTAATAGATATGGAATTTCTTCAATGGAGGATGAGCCCTCCATGAACCAGCCCAAGACCTGCTCCGTGGATTTTAAGTTGTAGTGAATTCTCCATTATTTCCGCTTCTGGAAAGTATGTCATCGTGGCTATTGAGCCTCATTTTCATGATTGATATGTTCATAGTTAATAGAGGACATATTAACTATGATATGTTAGACTTGAATGAATGTCATATACATGAAAACGAGGCTGTATAGCCAAAGTGACATACTTTCTAAAAGGGTGTGTTGTGTAATCACAATTTTACTGATACCATGGGAAATAGGCCAACTGATCTAGCTAGGAACTCACATGCTGACAACCCAGCCAAGTCTTTCAGGAGTGAAAGATGAATATTGAATACTGGGTTTTCAATATTGGTGTAGGATGAATGGAGTTGCCCCCCCCCCCCCCTGCACCACGTTGACGGGTTTTTAACAATTTTTAAAAAGAAGAAATTTTAGAGGTAGGAATATTAAACATACTTAAGGAAAAATATTCCTTTTTTCCGCCTGAGTTATCTGGGATGAAATAAGGTATATTTGTCCAATATGTAATTGCATTTTGCTGAGAACTTTGTTCCAACAAAGAAAATTGAAAAATCACATATGCACAGTTTCAATAAGTTTTGAAATTCCATGATAAAGAAATATGTCAAGCATTGAAATGTAGTTTATGTTTCAATAAACACTTTTATAAATTTAGGACAATAAAGCAACTGCATTTTACAAGTAGGAATGCAAGTCAGAAAAGTGTTGGGGCCAATACTGAATATATAACGACTGCAAATAACACTATTCTATGCTCCTGAAATATTTAAACCATGCATGATCTTTAATCAATACCTATCAAGTTGCATTAATGTGCCCTAATGCACCCTACTTGTAAACTCTGTCTAACAGCAGACAATTTTACTTATCAAGGGGAGAGCGCTAGTCCTGAATGCATGCAGGGTTAATGGGCTTACTTCTGCCCGGTTACCCAGGTTAGCAGAGTAAATGTAAACTATCATGATAATTTTAACGTCAACTCATTTAGCTAGGGCCAACTTGTTTAAGTGGGACAAAGTTTTTGTAAAAAAATTGCAGTCTAGTAATTGTTATAAATATCTATAATATAAATAAATGTGTATATAAATGTGTACACAAGTATTGTGATAAGTGATGTCAGTGGTAATTTAAATAGCAGCCCTGATCCTGTCACATTCATACTTTCTGCATATTCACAGTAACTCCTTGAAAAGTGTCAATTCCTGCATATTTACAGTATCTCCTTGAAAAGTTCAGATCAATGGTTACAAACTTATAGCGGTTACAATTTGATTGTGTTGACTGAGTTTTAAATCAGATCAATTATTAACTTTGGGACATCAGCTGTAAATTAAGTCATGGAAAAATAAATCTAAAAATATCTAGTGTTGCTGTATATATCAGTATCATAAATGTAATATGTAAAGGCAATTGATTCACAATATGGTGGCCCATAAACCTGGTTTACAGGGTCGTAAAGGTATGTGTCCATGAACCATGTGCACAGGATGGTGAGGTGGTCCAATGCTCCGTGGACCAGGTGCACAGGGCAGTAAGATGTTCAGTAAGGTTGACTTTGTCCGGGTGGAATGGACTTGCCATGTGATGGTAAGTAAGGTGGTCCATGAACCAGGTGCACATGATGGTATTGGTGGTCCATGGACCAGATGCAGAGGGATGTTAAGGTAGTCCAGGGTGCTCTAAAACACAAGCAGGGAAACATGCTCATAGTGCATTGACTGTATCTGATATGGCAGGGGATTGGAAGTCAAATGCACTTGCATGCATGTTATAATAATAATACATAGAATTTCTATAGCGCCAAATCTACAGTACTCTAAGGCGCTTTACATTCATATCGCATTTAAACAAAAATGTGACCTAAACCTAATTTACTTGTAAGAAAGTTAAAAAAGTGCGTTTTTAAACGTCGTTTAGAAGTGCTAAAACTCGGTTCAAGTTTCAAGCTGTCTGGTAAGTTGTTGTGAGAAAAGAAAGAAAGAAAGGAGAAATGGCAGAAAAATGTGAAATATTTTAAGAGGAAACCATCCCTACACAGCAGGAAAGAATTGCTGTCTTTAAATGAAAAATATCACTTAATCCTGAATTAATTGACAATCAATGTCTCATGTTTGGTACCTATGTAAAGTCAGATTTAGCAAACCAAGGAAATTCAGACAAAATGCTGGGGAAAATCAACAAAATTCGGGCAAATATATCAGAACATATGTTAAATTACAGCTATTCTATGATTACAAACCTTTATGATTATTTTATCCTTACAAATTCGGATAAACTTTCTAGTGCCCCCCCCTTCCACCTAGAAAGGATTCGCCCCGTATGCTTATGATTTTTTCGCTTACTCAAAAGGCTACTCACTCAGTAGTCACCTGAAGATGCTTATAAGGTGAAACCAGCTATAGGGCGCTGTTTAACACATGATTTTAGAGCGCCCCACACGTGGAAACTACAGTAAAAGGGATGACGATTTCGAGATGATGGTGGGGTAACTGATTGATAAGCAAAAATTGGGTATATAATATGTAGTGAAGGTTGCAGTTTATATTATTTTAAGGTTTGTGATAGTTGTGCTTCAAATGAATTGGTTTAAATCCTATTTAAGCCATTGTTAAATGCGAACTTCTTGCCACTCTGAACTGACTGATCCTCTCACGTGTGAAACTGGTGTTCCACAAGGCATACAGTATCCTTGGACCGTTTCTGTTCATAATATACATCAATGAATTAGCCAACGTACTGGCACACTCAAATATCTCTTTTTAATATTTTTGCACCAGTGAATATGACAAACCCTACAACCTGATTGGTCAAATTTGACGTATTAAGATGTTATATTCACCTACAGGTGAATGAAACAAAACTGAAATTTGCAAAATGGTAGCTCTAGCCATTTTGTGGAAGTTTACTGATAAAGAAGAGAAATTAAAATAAATTCAGTACACAAAACACAAAAGACTTGTGTAAAAATACTAAAACAATTATTCGCCTCAAGCTCGGTGATTATCGGGCAGGTGAATATTTCCCGATAATCACCTCACCTTTGGCGAATAATTGTTAAATATGCCGATGATGCCATATTGTATTACTACTCCACTCCCATTAAAGATTTAAAGCAAAAGCTTAATGCTGATCTTCTGAAAATTGGTGATTGGTTAAAGGCACATAAACTGACACTAAATATAAAGAAAACTAAAGCTAGGGTTATTGGAAGTGGAAGAAAATTCAGAAACCTGATTTCAGCCTCCGTTAAAGTACATGATGAAGAAATAGAAACAGTTCAGCAGACAGCAGTACACACACCTTGGATTCATCTTTGCAGCAAACATGACATGGTCAGCGCATATAGACCACCTTTGTGCTAAAGTCAATAAGCAGTCGGGTCTGCTAAAGTGAATTAAGCATCTCCTTCCACGCTATGCAAGAATTCTCTATTACTGTTTGACCATGGAGATCTTGTATGGGGAAACAAAAATAACTGTACACTGATGCAAAATCTGCAAATTAAAATTCTTCAAACTAAAGCAGCCAAGGTAATTTTGGATCGACCACCTTTTTCGTCTGCTACTGAAGCTCTTAGAACTCTGGGATGGAGGGATCTTTCCCAGCAAAGACTGATTATCATAGGTGCATGCCTTTATATTTTTAAATGCGATAATGCAATGACTTTTTCTGACTTGGATTTGACTCGAGTCTCGGAAATACATGAACACAATACTCGATCCAAAAACAGTTTGCGTTTGCCAAGAGTCAAAAGAAACTGGGACAAATAAAGACTAGCGTGCCATGTTTGCAAGGATTGGAATAGTCTTAGCGAAACCGTGAGGAACTCTGAGAGTCTTTCTCAGTTTAAATTATAACTTTTTATATACTTTTACCCTCAGAAGATATAGATTTTAATATGCCTATACATTTTAATATCTTATACTACGATAAATTATCATGTATATAATCAATTCGTCTACAGGGCCTTCCTGAAAATCACGCTGGTGAGAAAGGTTTTTGTCAATAAAGATTATGATTATTTATTTATTTATTTACTTAAATTCATGAAGACCATGAAGAGTCACGGTCCATGTGATGGTAGGGTGGTTAACTTCTGGTGGTCTGTAGGATGGTAATGTGGGCCATGTGATGGTAATGTGATCCATGGCCAGGTGCACAGGGTGGTAAGGTGGTCCATGTATGGACCAAGCCAATATTCTGATAAGTTGTTCCATGGATCAGGTCCACAGAGTGGTAGGGTCAGTGTTAAGTCATACTATCGGTGATAATATGGATGTAAGATTTGTGGCAGCTAAGGATAGCAGGGGCCCATTACTCGTCTAATCTGCTGCATGCTCTCACTTTCAGAAACGGAATATACGTGATTATGGAGAGCCTATTTTGAAAATGTCAGTGCATCTATGATTGTCTATAAAAAACATCAGTGCTGGATGTTCCAGTGTTTTTGAGATTGTAATCATTACCCAAAAGCACTGTTGAATCGACTTACTGTCTTCTACACTAATGCGAAAGGCATTGCTTGATTAATGGAGAGATACACACTGCAATATTGTCCAATATTTATAAGTTATGATGCAGACTAAAATATATTTTAGATCGCCATGCATAAAAATGCATAATGTTTTACACACTTAGAAATGAGGAGGAAGTTGGTCAAGAAATTAAAAAATCAAACCTGAGAAGAGAACACGTGTACGTTGTGACAAAACTTTGGGAACAAAATGGATATGAATATTGTTTGAAAGCATTTGATGCAAGTCTGAAGCGGTATGTAAAGGTTGCCCTTCAGTCACGTTTGGCTATGTGAACCGTAGCCTGAGACGCATACTCAATGAACGGTATACAGAGTCTGCTAATCCACAACGGAAAGCTTGTGTGGTGACGTAGACAATGACGAATAAATGGCCTTTGATGACTGCTGATCAATTAATTATGCAGAAATAATTTAAAATTTTGATGTGTTGCATGAGTCACATCAGGCAGAAAATTTTCTTTGATCATTGGCATCACATACCGAACAAACTCTAGGACGTATTACACCCTCTCAGAGCAATGTTTATCTCAGCTTTAATATCCATGAGCTAGCCATAAGACTCAAAACTGAACAGGAACAATAATTCATAGTGATTTTTAGTGAATGTTTCGAAATCACTATATATTATTATAATTATAAACAACTTCGAATGATCATTATAGAACTACCCAAAAGAAAAAAATGTGCTGATTTCCTTAGTTTATTTTACTCATGAGTTATTATACAGGTAACAACATGACGAAGTTACATAGTGAATTGGCGCATTCTCTATTGACAGGTTGGATATGGATTATGTGGATCTTTACCTCATGCACGCTCCTATTGGTGATCATTTATTAGAGACGTATGATGCATTTTTGGAATTGAAGGAAAAAGGTTTGGCAAAGTATGTTAAATTATGTTAAATTATTATCTGCGTCATCATTATTATCGATATTGATTATCATAATAGACGATATATTTTGTGTGAAACAGCAGAGTGGTTCCCTTCGTTTTCCCAGTGAGGGTGATATACAGACTAACATCCCGCAAAAGTATCGTTAAAACTGTAAAAAACTATGTTTCAAACAGTTTAACTATGTTCTTCAACAGGTTCAGTTGAGTGTTAAAATAACCTAATGAAGAACAGTTAAACCGTTTGAAACATATTTTTTTAATAACGTTTAATCGCGATTGTCCCATTTGAAATGATTTTCAATAAATTTTAAATATTAAAGGTACAAGTTCAGGGTGTTAGCCAGAAGTAAAAAAAAATCCGCGTTTACCTGAAATTGGGAAATTTCTGTTAGTGTACCATTTTAGGGACCGGTCATTATTTATGGCGGGGGGTGGCACCGAAGAGAAAAAGGTTGGGTAAACTAAATTTTGAGTAAGTAAAAGGTTGGGTAAATGAAAAACAAAACAACTCAAGGGTTGGGTAATAAAAATTTATTGTCATTTCCAAAGCATGACCCACTGAAATATTGGAGACTGAAAAGCAATGTCAACAGTCATTTGTCAATACAATATGTGAATCAATCAGAGTCACTATCTTCACCCGATAGTTCGACAAAACAAATTGTGTTTCCAAAGAAAGTACATGTGCAGACAACATGAAACTTTAGACTGCAGAAAATTTCACAAGCCATTATCAAACTCATGTCACTGAAGTGATAAAGGACATGTATGACAACTGAATGGTATCCTTTTGTTAAGTTTTTGGCCAGGGGTGGGTAGTTATTTTTTAATTGATATTTGAGGTTGGGTAATCAAATTTTTGTCTTTTTAATGGTTGGGTCAGCAAAATGTTTGACATGGAAAACATTTCTCTTCGGTGCCACCCCCTGCCATAAATAATGACCGGTCCCTTAGGGGTACAAAAATTTTTCCGGACATATCAAAATTTTTCGCGACAATTTTTGTCTTTGAAATGGCATTTCCCGCATTTTGGGAGTAATTTTGAGCAAATGTAGTTATGAACATGTTTTTAATGGCGTATTAACAACATATTGACGGCAAGATGGACGGCAAGATACGGTACTGGTCTATTGTCAGATGTAAAAAAAAATAATTGAATTTTTATGCTATTTTTTGGCTGACCCAAATTGGGAAATTGCGACCTCAAGGTAATTGGGAAAACCGCGTTTAACGCGGAATTTTTGACTGTAGCTAACACCCTGAAGTTTCAGAAACCGTATCATTGATTATCATCATTAACTCAGGAATGGATTTACTGGGGGTGTGCACTCCCTAGCCCTGGCCAGAGGGGGTGCAGGGGGTGCTATTTTTCAGGATAAAGCAAAAAAGTATTAACATGATGATATTAAGTGAACTGTGAACAACAATTACAATTCAAATACAGTAGTCAAGCAAGTACTGCTGTATGTTGATGGGCGGGCGGCGTACATGACCGACACAACTTACCAGATCTGGCAGATCAGCACCAGATCTGGCAGAGCACCCCCCCCCCCCGCACCACCACCACCACCAGATTATGCTGGATCCATCCCTGCATTACCTCTTATTAATTAACTTCGTTCGCTTAGATCCATTGGTGTATCAAACTTCAACATAGCTATGCTGGAAGGTCTACGTAAAGCTGGAAAACCAACACCTGCTGTAAATCAAATAGAAATACATCCTTACATGAGAAGAGACGAGCTCGTGCAATATTGTCGTGACCATGGCATACATGTAACGGCATTTTCACCACTGACAAAAGGCAAGAAGTTAAAAGAACCTGATATGATCACTATGGCGGAAACGTAAGATATCAAGTTATTATTTCAACTTTATGATAAATATGAATATGTTATTAATTGATAAAAACAAATGGCAAATATAGTCACATAGTAATCTACTTCAGGCCCTGGATCTGGAGAATGTATTTTTCTAATTCTTAACAGCGAAATCCTAACTTAAAAACATCCCGTCTCTAACAACTTAGCTGATACTTACGTAATCACAAGGCTGTTTACATATCGCTGTTTACACACTAAGTAATTAATTTATATCGAACTGATTTACTTGACCTGTATACTGTATTTTGGTATAATGTTACTGTATAATGTATATGTCGTCATAATATACGTGGCTTTGTTGTATATTATACAAATAATGAATGAGTTTATGAGTTAAATCAGTGCCTTTTTTAACTATATATCTGGGATGGGGGGGGGAAAGAATTCCCCCCCCCCCAGTAAAGCCATTTCTGCCCCCGAAGTGCGAAGCAGAATTGCTCATGATTGCTGTCAGAATTGCAGTTGATTTACTTGATAATGAGATTATGCCCTTCCATAGCCTCCTTCACAGCCTCCTCCACAGCCATTTTGTGTGTAATTCATATTGTTCTTCACCGAGTATTTCATAATAGCGATAGATTTCATGCAAACAATCCAATAAAATGCTAGCCTTTCCAAGCCTTGCGACTATTTAGCACTTTCCTCCACAGAGGCGTTGTGTTTTGTTTTGGGAGGTTTCATTGCAAAACCTTTTCTTAAAAATATCAAGTTATATTAAGAGCCTCCCCCACCCCCAATCGCCACAAAACCATTCTCTCAGAAAGGCTAAATCCGTGAAGAAATTGGGGGGAGGGAGGGATACATGTTACATGCTCGAAGCTGAAACTGATTAAGTACGTCTCGACTGAGGAAAAAGACGATATACTGGAGGAACTTGATTTGTGAAATCTCGTTAAAGCAGTTGTAGATATGGTTCCAAGAAGAATAGATTTAGTTTAGATTTTTAACTGTTAAATACATGTATGCATCATCATAGCATGAATATTTCTTCTCAGACTTATTTCTGTATCGTATGAAAAAGCAACACAATTTTTAGAATGCGGAAATGGTGTCTCATAGAACCCAAAATCATTTAAATGCAACATTCTGATCAAAATCACATTGGGATCCCCCCCCCCCTGCATCACAGAGAGGAAATAAGGTGACACTGACCCCTACTCCTATTTTTCAAGGTGACTTTTCCAATTTATTTAATTCCGAGTAGAAATGTCTGGAAAAATTCATGTCATCGATGTAATTTATAATGTTCGGAATTCTGCTAGATTTCACCCCCAAAATGCATGAAATCGCAATTCAAGGACCCTAGATTTCATAATTTTCCGGAACCCGGACCCTCCTAGACGGTCTCACGCCTTCAGCGTGAGGTTCGCCCGCACAAAATTAAGGTTTGGCTACGTCACTGGTTATAGCTGTACGATTATAGCTACAAAGAGTTGAAGTTATTGTTTAAAGTAAAATATAGCTGAAGTTAATAAATTCAAGTTTTACAGAATCTCACTTCAGACTCGCGCCAGTCGCGCGTTCGCCAAACCTCGACGGCTCATATTTTTCGTTCTGCCTTTTTTTTCTGTTTTGCCCCCCCCCCCCCAGTGAAAATTCCTTTAAAAAGGCACTGTGGATCCACATCTACTAAATTTATAGTCCGTTTTCGTAACCACAAGTCAGCTATGCTTACGGATAAGAAATTTTGTGAGATGGCCGTTCATTTTAATGAAAATAAACACGAACTTAAGGATTTGGAATTTGTAGCCATTGAAAAAGTTGACTTAGTGAATGGCGAAAATGGCAATAATCCTTTATTGACCAGAGAAGCATATTGGATGGCACAGCTGTGTACAATTAGCCTTTATGGCCTCAATAAGAGATCTGAACTTCGATCAAAAGATAGGATCCATTACAAGTTGTAATAATTATTATAATTATAACTAGTAAGCCATATTATGGTAATTTTGATCCTACTATTGATCCTCATTAATTTGTTTACTAGGCTACATAATATAGTAATTTTGATCCTGCCAATGCTATAAAAGCTAGACATTGTTAAATTGTAATATAAACTGATGAAGGCAGAACTGCCGAAACGTTTTTAACTTTTAAGCTTTTATTTTAGTATGTTTTAGTTTTTTTAATAAATTGATGGTCGAAGTTGCATAGTCTCTGATTTTTATTAATTGATTTTTATATATATATACGACAGTACTTGCTGTGAATCCTATTTGGATCCTTCGCCCTCGAGTAGACTTCGTTTGGCATTGCCATTCCAAATATCAAATATGATATTGCCCCTCAAGCGATAAAACTGATATCACCTCACCCCGATTATGATAACCTGTTTATCACATACTTGTGCCTTTATGAGGGTTATAATTTATTTTAAAAATAATCATTGCCCCAATGCAACAATTATTAAAAAGTAGACTAACTGATAGAATTTATATATATATATATATATACATATATATATATATATATATATATATATATATATATATATATATATATATATATATATATATATATATATATATATATATATATATAAATTCTGTCAGTTAGTCCATTGGGGCAATGATTATTTTTAAAATAAATTCTAGCCCTCATAAAGGCACAAGTATGTGATAAACAGGTTATCATAATCGGGGTGAGGTGATATCAGTTTTATCGCTTGAGGGGCAATATCATAAGTGTCACGAGTGAGCGCAGCAAACGAAGGACATTTATGATATCGTCCCTCATGCAAGCGATAAAACTGATATCACCTCACCCCTCATACATATACGAATGTGATTTGTTTTACGACATGCAAAAGAGTGCTCGATATTATATAGATAGAGCAGAAATAGTCGTTTTACCTCAAAAGGTTGCCACAACAGCATGTTTCATCCAAGAGGAATCGTCAGGTGGCTGACAAATTTCGAAAAATGGGCTGCTTAAATGTTTGCGGTCGGAAACGTGAGTGACCGGATGTCAAACAGTACATGCATTCCTTCAATTGCTATCATTGTTTACTATAGTAATCATTGAATATAATGGAATCATGCCTATGGAATCATTGAATCTTGAGATTGATTTTTTCAACTAAACGACATAGTTTATATTACACAAAACCAGGTTTTCGCCATTTTGAGAGCAGTGATTATGATGAATCGGTTAGCGAAATGTCTCAAACAAGTGAGATATATATATTCGAAGCGTACCTCTGAAAACGAGTTAGGGATATTTCAGATCCGTCAGAGCACCTAGTCACCAGGCTTTTTCTGACACGGCCACAAAATTCAATATGGCGCCTGAATATTAAGGAGTGGAAGTAATATACTATTGTTGTTTCTTCTTTATTTTTCGAAATATTTTTGTTATTATAAGTACAAGAGAATGAAGAGATGACAGGAAACACTAGGTATCTTATTTTTATCTAAAAAAAAAGAATTTGACACAGATAAGAATTTCTTATTTCTGTAGTTAATTTTATTTATATTCAATAATCTGCAGCAAGCATCATTGCTCCAAATAGATGACAAAATTTAAAAACATTAATATTATGCAACATAAATATTGTATGGTGAAATTGCTAACTTGCTATGGCTAACGTAAGCCCATCACCAAATTAGATACACAGGAACTTGTTATTAATTCCCAGCAACTGGTCTCTGTAGCTCAGTGGTCAGATTCCTGTTTAGAGGGCTTAAAGTTCCAGCTGCTCCCAGTTACGTCTAATTAACAATTAGACAACGAAGTCGAGTTGTCTATGAGCGAATAGTCAACGAGGCGAAGCCGAGTTGACTATTCGTTCAGAGACAACGAGGCTGAGTTGTCTAATTGTTTTAGTATAAACCACATAAAGAAAACGGAATTTTTTACTTGACTTTTATGTAAAATAATAACGTTTTGACAAAATGAGCGTTTAAATGGCTTCCATGGCTTTGGCGACATTTCGTCTTGGCTTTGTTGACAACTACTAAGTGTTGCGAACTCCCAAGAATGACTTGAAAAATACAACTTGTGAGTTTTAAAAAAGTTAAAAAACATGTCATAAAACAGTATAATAGTAAGACACCGTTATAGAAGCAAAGTTTGGTTAATTAAAACTTATTTAAAAGAAGGAAACAAGGCTTAAAAAATCCAAAATTTCGAACACAAAATGGCTTCCCGAATTTTTATTAAATTAGTAAATAAAGTTTACGTCGTTAAAAAGCCGAATAAAAATGCACACACATGCAAAAGAATCCGATTATCCGAATGTCTTTGAAATCTTTAACATATCTGGAACATAAAGAGGCAAACTATTTCCATAATCTAGTATACATACACAATAGTTTAGATTAAAATTTAATCGAAAAACGTCGACTTAAAAAGGCTCGAAAAAGACGAAAAACAAACTCGGCCAAAATCTCAACATTTAAACGAAAAAACTCTTTAAAATGACAGCTAAATACATGAACTCGTACTTAAAACAAGCACACACTAAAGAGGTTGAGAAAATAGGGGTAAATAACTACAAAGTATTGTTGAATTTCAACGATTCTGCTTGGAATATTAACAAACATTGTGCACATTTTAAAAAATCGCCTGTCACTTTCATGTTCAAAACTACGAGCAAAGTTGAGAAAACTTAAAATTTTTACCGCATATGTCAGCAGTTTCCAAGAGTCTTTGTTTGTGTGTAATCCAGAACCAAAATTAGACCATTTTGATAAGCTTTTTCCTTTAAATACAGCTTTTAATGCTTTTAAAACGGCCATTGACTCTCGCGCCCTTCGCCGCTGTTGCTACTAGTAGGCTATCACTAATAGCCTACTAGTAGCGTAGCCAATCAGAACGCACGATACATGATAGCCTACTAGTAGATTTATACTAACATTGTATATAAACTTTCGTTCGAAATTTCCATCTAGAACATTGTATATAAATTTTCGTTCGAAAATTCCATGTACTACATCAGTACATGAACAACACAATTAATAAATCAGACATTAATTGATAATCCATTTTATTTTACATTATTAAAATAAGATAGAGTAGCCAGGAGTGCCAAAAGGTTGTGCGGGGCCCAGGGTAAACTTTTCCAGGGAGCCCTATGAAGTCACAATTGTAAAACAAGAGAAATGGTGTTTTACAATACATTGGCAGATTGCATTTATTTTCTGCACAGGGGGGGCGGGTGTGAGGATATCTTTTTCCAATCTAAAATGTGACCCCCTGGAATTCAGTTTACATACCCCTCCCCTGGAATTTCCTTGGAATTCATTGCCAGATACCCCTGGAAAATGGCTTTAATCTCAGACCATCCCCTGGATTTTGGTCCCTAATCACCCCATTCAATATTGTATTATGCTGGGGGCCATGGCAATAGACAGATTTTCTGGGGGTCCCCCAAAATATTCCCCCCCGCCAGAAAGTGTTTTCATCCCACCAAGAGAAATTTGCACCCCCCCCTCCCGAAATTTAAATGCTCAGTAGCCTCAGTGTGATTAAAATAAGGGATTTTTTCCTCAAAACTTCCAAAAATCTCAATTTCAGCACCCACCCCCCCCCCTCCCCTTGCCTCTAAATATTGATACCCTCTCTAAAGTTGGAGAGAGGGTATCAAATCAACTTTTTATGTTTGGTCCCTCCCAAATATGATGCTGTTTCTGTTTACCGTAATCACTCCATAACACCTGGAGGCTTAGTTTCAGGCACTGTTGAGGGGAGCTTATGGGATATGAGATTGACATTTGACGAACACGTCGACTCTCTTTGCAACAAGCTGTCGCTGCGATTTGGCGTCCTACGAAAGATCAAGGTTTTTCTTCCCCTCGAGCAGAGAATTCTCTACTACAACGCTATGATTAAACAACCGATGATGTATGGCTCAACTGTGTGGTCCGCGTGCTCTCGTGAGAATTTAGAAAGGGTTTTGCGACTGCAAAAGCGAGCTGCTAGGGTCATATTAGATGCTGACATGCGAGCGAACAGTGCCAAACTCTTCAAAAAACTAAATTGGTTGCCTTTCTTCGGTGAAGTCAAAATTCAGATGTGTGTTTTGGTTCACAAAAGTCTTTATGGCGAATGCCCAGCTTATATTAAAGAAACGTTGAGGGTAAACACAGATATCCATAACCGATCAAGTCGTTACGGTTCAATAAACATAGTTTGCCCACGTTTCAATAGAGAAACTCAAGGTGGACGGACATTCTCAGTCAGAATGTCAAGATTATGGAACAGCCTACCAAATGAACTAAAGTCCATTAATAGTATAAACATTTTTAGATCATCTTTGAGAACTGTTTATATTGACATTCTAAAGGATATGAACCATTTTAAAGTATTTTAAACTTTTTACTAGACCATTAGTTATTAAATTCCTACTATATATATGTATATATTTGCATGCTATAGGCCTACGCAGCCATTTATTCTATTAACATATTTTTGTGCTTATAGTTAGGAGGGCCGCTGGTTTATCAGTTTCACTGTCATGCGTTTACCCTCATTAATAAAGTTGAAGTAATAAAGTTGAAGTAAGCTTATATGTAAAATTATATAATTTTGTGTATTAAAACAAATTGGTGTAAAGAAATGAATAAATATAAAAAAATACATGTGTTTTGTATTAATAGCGGGGGGGGGGGTTAATAGAGAGGGAAGGGGGAGGCTTAATTAATAAATTTCTTCATTTGAAGGGAGTAGTAGCTAGGTTATTAGAGAAGAAGACTTTAGACTTTGAGAAGAAGATATATATATATATATAGTCTTCTTCTCAAAGTCTAAAGTCTTCTTCTCTAATAACCTAGCTACTACTCCCTTCAAATGAAGAAATTTATTAATTAAGCCATCCTATACGGATGAAACAGACTGTTGTTGTATATATATATATATATATATATATATATATATATATATATATATATATATATATATATATATATATATATATATATATATATATATATATCCCCCCCCCCTAATTTTCCCTTTCCATATGCCTATGAGTATATAACTGTATAAATATGGTTAATTAATATTTTGGTTCGTTCCTATCCAATTAAATTCATGTTTTGCTGACTGGGAGACAATTTGCCGACTGACTGACAAGTGTTTCGCCCCCTACACCTGGCAGAAATAAACAGGCACATAGCAATTTTATATGCACAGGTAATTGAGGTGAACAATCTTTTCAATAATGGTAATTTAAAACAAACGAACTAGGTATTTGAACTAATGACATCCCAAACACGGATAGCCTGCGTCAGCGTCGCATACTTCAAAACACATTTTTGAAGTATGCGACGCAGGCGAAACACGGACAGCAGTATCACTTTATCAGTAATTGAACAACTATTGTTCAGTAGTGGTATATACTATAAACTATACATTTTATAATCCATGACTGAGAAAAATTCTTTTCTGTGTCAAAGTTTTTTTCAGATGAAAATAAGATACCTGGTATTTCCTGTCATCTCTTGTATTTATAACAAAAAAATATTTCGAAGAATAAAGAAGAAACTGAACAATAGTATATTTAATAGTTCCATTCCTTGTTGGGCGCCATATTGAATTTTGTGGCCGTGTCAGAAAAAGCCTGGTGACTAGGTGCTCTGACGGATCTGAAATATCCCTAACCCTGAAAACGCGCGTACGTTTTAACGAAATAAATGTGTTTTAAAACTAAATTATTGTGCCAATTCTTGTTTTAAAACTGAATTCTTATGCACGCAATGCTACGCTGCCGCCCTATTTTAAGGCCTACGCTTGCCTAATAAATAGTCCCTCTCTATCCATAATAAACAAGTCGTCTTAATAGTCATGACTATAGTCGTAATAGTCATGACTATAATCTTAATAGTCATGACTATGATCTTAATAGTCATGACTATAGTCTTAATGGTCATGAATATAGTCTTAATAGTCATGACTGTAGTCGTAATAATCTATAATCTTAATAGTCGTGACTATAGTCTTAAAAGTCATGACTATAGTCTTGATGGTCATGACTATACGGTTAACTTGTAATTCAATGTTATCATTTACAAATATATTGTTACAAACGTTAAACCGTGTTTGATTTACTGTTTATCCATCCAACCAAGCAGAGCGATGGCCTGGCCATATTTTTCTCAAAAAATGTACACATTTTCGCGTGCAGCAGTTCAAGCTTTCTTATCTTTATTTTTTATTGTTTAAAGCTATGACCTTCGTAAGGTGTTTTCCAAATCAGCGCTTTGACTGACCCATGCATTGTATTTATTTACTTTAATCAAAATATATAGCGGACGAAAACTTTTCAGATACTAATGCATGCTGTAATTATCAATATTTTATAGGACAATGCAGTTAGCCAATGGCCAATTTGAAAACAATTGTCCATTCTCTGAAGCTCCACTGGCGCTATCGGTTCTAACAACAGGCATTTCCATTATCCCGGCTTTCGTAAGTATTCTTGGGCAGTGGCGTAGCTAGCGGTCCTGCTTGTCCTGCCCAGCAGGACTAAAAATTTCCCCAAATTTCCGTACTAAAGCATTGCTTTATTTATCTTGAAGCTTTAAAAATTTATCATCATATTGTTATTTTGGCTCATTTTCTCGTCTTTTTCGTTATTATTTTTTAAAACGTTTTTCGCATTCTGTTATATTTACGCAATTTTACAGCTTGCCGTGTCTATTACATAGCAACTGCAACTCTACATTGATTTACACGCGACTCGTATTTCAGTCCTGCCATTTTCAAATGGCAGGACTTGCTAGTATATTTCATAGTAAATTCATACAAGAAATCTTGGTTTCTGATTGGATAATTAAGTCTGCGCATGCTCAAACCGACTGTTTACAAATGCGAAGTCCTGCTCTCTCGAAATGGCAGGACTTGGCCTTGTATTATCTTTACTTGCGAGCTTTTCGCGTGACTAAACCCACTTTTCACTAATTCTGTCGAGATTACTCAAGTTATGAATATGGAAATTAACGAGTGTGGAAGCCCAATGTGATTTTGATATAATTTCTGGCTTCTGCTAAGATATTTTAGCTCACGAAATGCATGTGAACAGACTCGACTGATGATTGTGTATTCTTATAATACAATATATTAAATGGGGAATATAAACTTCAATTGTGAAGCCTGTCGTATTGATATAAAGTAAGAACGTAATATTTACTGCCAGTTCATCTGCTTTGTGCATTTGAAACGAGCACTTATATGGAGTTTAATTTTAAAAATGATCTACTGTACCAATTCACACTGTTTATGTAGATATTTGGCCGCATAGACTATATTAAACGCCATATTAATACCATAGGCATAGGGTACTGAATTACATTCAGAGTGCCATGCGTAGTGATCTGTCACATTACTAACAAACGTAGTACATTTTCAACGAATGCTAGCCGTAGCGTTATAGTGCAGTAAAACGCCGTGTTCAACAGTATAATAGTTATGTAATTGTTGATTATGTGAGGTTGGATTGTTTTGTGTTGATCAAGTGAAAGATCGTATTACAGACGCGTATTGTATACATGATATTTTCCTCTTTCGTGACTTGACTGTATTTAGCTACATTTTCAGTTAAGTTGAAAAATATATTGTGAAATATGATAAAAAATGCATGGATTTCAAAAAGTTATAAATTTTTTTCTAAAAAAATTATCAAAAATTTTCCGCTAATCACGCAATTTTTTGATGTTCCCTTTGGAGTATTTCGCCGTGAAATCGCAATGGCCATTCCAGACTTCTAAAATTCAAAATTTCCCGGGTGAGCATGCCCCCGGACCCCCCTAGAATATGTGGGTCTTAGAGCAGGACTAGTCAAATTTCGCTAGCTACGCCACTGTTCTTGGGAATATCCTCATAATTCTAGCTGTTGCGTTAGATCCGAACAAGAATCTTCGAACGCCGTTTAATTGGTTAATTGTAAATTTGGCAGCGGCTGATCTAATTGCTGGAACCATCACAGACCCTCTCTCGGCGAGTATTTATTTCAAACTTTGCCTTGGCAAGAAAATTACTGATGCGGAAGTGAATGTGCTTAATATGAGTTACTAGTTCATTTCATGTGCGGCTTCTTCTCGAAGCATTGCAAGTTTGACTGTTGAACGATACCTGGCAGTGAGAAAACCTACCACATACCGTAACAAAATAACTAATAAACTAATTGTATTCACCGTCGCTGTAATTTGGTTGATCTCTTTGACTTTACCAAATACATATTTTGAAGTTGGATACATTCTATACTCATTCGTCTTCGCTAACGCATCGGTCGTTTTGGCTATTTCAGTAACGTGTTTGACATACACGTTAATGTGGCAAAGGATCAAACGACAATCTCAGACAATAACCAATCATAACGGAGGCATAGCTTTACCACAATGTGAAAGGTCTCAAAGCTCGTCAACGGCACCAAACAACCCAACTACAGGCAACTCAATGATCACAACCATAAATAAAATGGAAGAGAAAATCACCAAAATGTTCTTTGTGGTCCTTGTTGCCATGTTCTGTTGCTATGGTTTTGCAACGCTGTTCAGTTATCTCCTTATCTTCTGTGAATCGTGCGGTTGTGTCGCTCGACATTGGTTTTATGATTTGGCCTTCAGTTCAATTGCAATTAATTCAAGTTTAAACTTTTTCTGTTATTCAATGCAGTCTTCCAGATTCCGAAGTGCCTTTATCAAAATCTTGAAGATAAAGAAGAAAAATGAGCAACACCATGAAACATTTTCCTTAAACGTAAATATAAACTAAAATGCTTTTTCGAACGACTGAGCAAAGATAAGATGTGCAAATGCAAGGAATTGTTGAGAAACGAGATGTAGGTAATACAACACAATAGTACAAGAAAATATTTTAAGTTGTCTATTGAAAACTTACAATACAGTGTATCATATATTTAGGAAAAAAATGTTCGTTAATTTGGCTTGAACCCTATGCTGAAGTGGGATCTGTTTTCATATATGGTAGTTTTCAAATGTTGTGTTTAATTTTGGGGTTTTTTCGACCTTGGCTTATGGCCTAATCCAAATAAGCTGGAACAGTGACAAAGGTCAGTTACAGCAGTTTTCTTTTAAATGATCTTTAACGGTACAGTTCAGCCTTTTGAATGATGGTTATTATAAAGGCCCTTGTACACAATGCGACTTTTGCTTACGATTGTTGTATGAAACTTGCGCATGCTGACGCCATCTCTGCGACACGAATCGTGCCGTGTAGATAACCCTACAACTTGCTTACTACAGTCGTATGCAACACAAAAAAGTCTTGGAGTATTGGAAAAGTCGCATACAATAATCGTACCGTCTAGATAGACGGCACAAAATCGCAGGGATGGGGTCAGCAAGTTGCATACAACAATCGTAAGCAAAAACGCATCGTGTAGACGTGCCTTTAAGGTAATCAGGAATAGTTGTGTTTTGACTATGTGAAGAGCTGCAAATTTTATTTGCAGATAGCCAGGAAAAATTTGATACCATCCTAAATAAAAAATACAACTAAAGCAGCTACACAGATTTATAATTTTTCCCTGAAAATTTCTGTTTTTGTCAGATAAAAAGAGACATAAATATGAGATGAAGCGAACTAAAAAAACGTACTTGTCCATACTGTTTACTAATTTTATTGTTTTCATATTTGTTGTCTTTGATTAATGACGAAGTACCTCGTATTTTTCTTGAAATACTATCCAAACTGTGTTAGTGTTCTAAATAGAAAGTTGTGTAGAGTAGTTTCCCTAATACTAACCAAGAGAACATTTTTTACAATTGTTTTTTTTTCAAATGTTTCGGACTTTGTACTTTGACTTTGCGTGACCTTTTTTCCCATATTT